AATTCAGATCAATGGAAGAATTCACAAGTTTTTGGCGGGAGAGATTGGCAAAGATTAAGTTTGCCCAAGTGACGCTTTTTATCTACCAAATTAAGCATAAAGTTTTGATATACAAAGCAATATTGAGAGAGGAGGGATTCAAACGCATGCTCTTAACCATTTGAGCTACAAGGCCTTTGCGTTTTGTAATTAAAACTGATCTAAGAAATCCAATATATTCTAGAATAATTCTATGTCTTGACTCAGATGAATGCAATAAATGAATGCAATACATCATCTATCCTAGGGCCACACCAAATAACTTTGACCCATGAGGGACTATTTTGAGTAACTTAGGTGCCACTGATGACCCTTTTAGCCCATTAATATTTTAGTGTTTATAGGTGAATTCAAGTTTACTCAAAAACTACTAGCAATGAATTCAGCCCAAATATTTCAGGACCACAAGATCCAATTTTGTGCCTGCCGCAAGCAACAACCTGGAATATATCTGTACCCACCACCACACCAGGTGAAGAGAGCGAGAGAGAGAGAGAGAGAGAGAGAGAGATCATGTACAACCTGCCTCATAGTGGGGTTGCACTCATACCAATACTAGGTGATTGATATACCCATATCTAAATCACATGGTTGATGCCTTGGTGGTGGCCATCATTTTGTTAGGAGACAAGTCAATTTTGCTTTCCCAATCAACCGAAAGATACACCATATTTTTCAATTACTTGTGCACAGAACTTTGAGGATTTGATTATCCACCCTTATTCTATACACCATATCCCTTTCAACAATTGTTTAATCAGATTGGGGTTCAATGTATTTTGGGGGGTTTGTCTTTCTTTTCTTTTTTTGGTAATTTTTTTTTTTTCCCTTTGACCTATAATTTTTAGCACAAGAAATGAAGGGGCATGTTGCGGTGCCCACTGGCTTGCCAGGGAATTTGGTACCAAATCATATCTTCTCTAATATTGTTTGTGATGCACATTCAAAAGGTACGGTCGCCGGCACAAAGTAGATCTTGTCGTCTATAAACCAACTTTAACGAAATATTTTTAAAAAGTAAGAAACTTTAATTCCACTTTAAGAGCCCAACTTACCCATTATAGAAGGGAATGTTAATTTACGTTTAAATTACACTTTGATAAAGTTCCTTTCCCTCTAAAAAATAAAAAATAAATCTTGAATTTGGACTCTTCACATTCTGTTTTTATTTATTGTCAATTTATAAATTAAGATCATCAATTAGGTTAAATCACGTCTAAGAAAAATATGCCAAGAAACACAACACAAGCATGTATTGTAAACAAAACATCAAATCAACATAGCTATTATAAGAAGATAGAACTTGTACATTTAGATTGATGTCAATGAACAAAAAGTGATCTTCAACAAACCGTCCCCTCAATCACAATCACAATGTCAAATGAAGAGAATCAGCCCCCACTACATTGATCAAAAATTAGCTAATCAAGACTAATTAAAAAAGTTTTTTAAAAAAACCTAATTGAATTAGTTAAACCCAATTTCCACTAAACTTACCACTACTATCTTCTAGCTACTACTACCAGTCATTATTAATTTGGCTTTTTATCACAAATGGTCCTTGACGTTTACGAAATTATCACAAATGGTCATTGAGGTTTTTTTGTGACACTAATAGTCCTTAACGTTTGGACTTTTTATCACAAATGGTCCATGCCGTCAAAAATTATGTTAAGTGTATGATGTAGAAGATAAGTTGAGCCCACATGTCCAATCACATTGTTACATTTGGATTAAATAAATAAATATTTTTTTGAAGAAAATCCATTAAAAAACCATTTAGCCTCTCTCTCTCTCTCTCTCTACTTTTCAAGTTTTTCAATCCCGAAGACCAAGTTCAAGCTTAAGTTCATCATCCTCTTCAAATAGTCAAAGACCAAGAAAAGCCTGGGATGAATTGTAGAGAAATTGAAGCAAGTGAGAAGAAAATGGATCAAGAGAAAACAATCCGTGCATATAGAGAAGAGATTGAAGGCCTTAAAGGCTGTCTATCAGTTTCACAGAAGAAATTTTCTGAAGCAGAGAAGAAAGCTAATGCACCCAAAGAACTAAGAGAGAGAGATGATGTGATACTCAAACTAGAGGA